ATATTTCTTTTAATACATTCCAAAATAAGGTTTTTGTAAGGATTTAAACCCTCAAAAATCCTTCTATAAGGACAAGAAAGCAAAAATTTAGCTAATCACTTATAGCTCGCGTACTACACTTTGCAAACTCTACCCTATGCTGCAGGCTTAATGGTCGATAATATAAAGTGGCCTAGGCGTAGTAACACAAATGTAATACAAATAAATCGTAATTAATTATTAAAAATTACCTTAAATATTTAAAATTTTGGGGTTTTTTTTGTAAAAATCGCTTCATTCTTCGATACGGAAAAATTTTAAATTATTTTTTGAGAAAATCAACGTGTTTAATTCACTCCAATGTATTAAATAATTAAAATCTTAACATTTTAAAACAACTTAAACACTAAAGGCCTTAAGCTTCAGCCTTTAATTAGGTAAAATTTTAAAATATTTAAACCATTATTTTCGAATTTCGTAGGGCCTCAAAAAAAGCGATAATCATACATTTAAATTCCATTAAAAATATATTAAATAGAGCATTAGAGGGCCCGCAATCGGGACGTATTCATTCGGCAGATCCTTCGTAAGGCCTCTAGATGTATCGAGACCAATAAAGGGCCTCCAAATATCACAAGTCATAAACAATTTAGTAACGTTATGTTAATACAGTAATAAATATAAGTAACATTCTTTACAAGACTCGAAACGATCGAGCGTAACTATTTTGCATTATGTTACCATTTAAGCAATCGATATCTCTATAAATAACCTTAAAGTTGCATATTTTTATGCATAGTTACCAAAGAAATCAATCATTTCTACCAATTTATTCCCTCTTAAAACACTTAATACGGTGTGACATCATACAGAAACAATTCCTATGACAATTTGTTTTACAAACGTAACAGAAGCATAATTAAAAAATGGCGTAAAAACCGAGGCATAATTAAGGGGAGAGAAAAAAAATAATGACGTAATAGAAGCATAATTCAAATAAAATAATTAAATTTGGGCGCCATCTAATGTTAAAATAGGTTAACGAATATATATATATATATTTATTTATTTTATTATTTTAAAAACTGAAAAATGAGTTTAATTAAAGAAAATATACGTTATTCAAATGAGCATGTTAAGTGGCAAGTTGCAATCTTTAAAAGTTAGATAAGTTGCAGTTATATTTTGTACGTGAAGTACGTGAGTTTAGAAGAATGATTCGTCTGGTTAAAGGTTAAAATGTGGGGGGATTGGAGTCCACACGAGAGACTCTAACACTCATTACCTACACCTAAGTTTTCTAGCAATTTAACTCTGATTTTTACGTGAAAAATAACAATTTTTTACATTAATTCCGTGTATAAAACACATTAAACTGTGTTTTTTTTTCTTTAGTAAAATGAAAAATTTGGGAGGGGGTGAAATGCAATTAAAGTTAAAAAGCCACACTTAAAAATTTGATGCGAAATTTTATTAAATTCTGAGAGATTTTTTTTTTCGATTTTAAATAAATAAATATATATTTTAAGTGACGATTTCGCTGATTTTTAACGTAAAATAGAGAAACTATTCATTTTTCGCTACTAGATGGCGGCACGTGTAAATGATGAGACGTGGGTGGCAAAATTAGGTGTCGATTCCTTCGACCCCCGATATAGCGCCAGAAGGTGTTTTTTTGGTGATGCTTACGAGTTCGAGGGGGTAAATATTCCCATTCTACTTCTTAATAGAAGGTGATTAGAACGATAGAAGATACGAGGACGAACGAGAGAAGAGATAATGAAAGGTGACACAATATTAGAATTTCAAGCACCTAACACACGAAAGTTGATTGGTTAGCCACCGGGGTAAAAGGTTCCCCGCGGGGACTCAGTTAACTCAAAAGAGGGATAACAGCGTTGGGTTCCTTGCAAAAGCATTCATCTTGTTCTCACTTGTCATAGATTGGTGTCCGAGGTGGTGAGGAGATATCTTTTAAGGTTATTGAGTTTGTCCCTCGATTCTACGTGAGGTTCTTACGGGTGATAGATACTAATTCCACCCAATTTACTTAAACGAGAATCAAAATTTACCAATTTTTTAAATCTCTAAGCTTCGATCGGGATTATCCGGATGTGCGTAACGATCATCGGATACGTCTATATTCTGAATAACCCCGGGCAAAGAATTGTTGTTAAGTGATAATTCAATTAAATCTAAATTGTGATTCGGGTTGTTAAAAGTGTAAAGGACTTGCCCTCCTATCTAAAAAAAGAGCTTCATCAATATTTATAACCTCACAGATTATGCTAAACATGTTCTCCCCCTCGTCACTCAATGTTTAACTGAAACCGGGTCCATCCTGTCTATTATATATTATATTGGTCTATAAATGAACCTTTTAGTTTTGATTTTATCAATTAAATGTCAGAAAGTAATAATGCTGTATGAGAGGTGTTCAAAAAGTATTGGATTTTTGGTCGGCAAAAATGCATTAATTTTGAAGAAAAAGCTTCAAATTTTATTTTCCTTTGTCTCGCCTTTCTGTGAAATATAACACTGATGAGTCATTGTTTACACAGCTGGGTGACCTTGAACACAACTGGAGTTGGATTTCCCGGGACATCTTCATATATGCCACGGGNCTTCTTAATACTTCACACTAATCGTATCGAGTGACGTTATAATCGCAAAGTGTAGCAGTGAAGCCCATAAAAATAAAGTGCTCCTAGTTATATATGGTCCCACTCGAATTAATTTTTAAACAATTATCGTTTATCGCACTAAAATATTTTTCGAATTTTCATATTTTATCTTTAAAATAAGCGAATTTAAAAATTTTACATTTTTTTTTCTGTTGAAAAATTTATTCGAAAATTTAGGGATTTTTTTAAACGTTTTTTCAGTAGAAATTCCCTAAAATAAGCATAAAAATCCCCGAAAACGACATTTAATTCTTAGCAGTTAATAATTGATTAATTTACAACAATGGGAGATTTTAAATGTCATTTCAACAGCTGTTTGAGAAACCAATCAATTTTATTTTTATAAACAGAAAATCGGAAATGAAAGGATCAATTTTTATCATTTAAAAAATATTTTTTTAAAAAATAAAAATGAAAAGCTCATCGAAAGTTATAAAACAAAGAAATTAAAACCCTAAAATAATAGCCTAAATGTTCGCAATATAATCTAGAAGCGTTTTTTTATTACTTTTTTTTAGGGGTAGAAAATTAATTATTTGCAGCGACAAACTCGCGCCAACTTCTCACACAGATCGCGATCCTAATGGAAATTCTTAAAGCTACTAGAAAGAATTTTAAGTAGTAGAAAGAACGGATGAAGAATTTAACATCACTTCTGCATCGATGCATATAAAAAAGCTTTCTTAATCCGAACGCTAACGAAGTCTGAATCGCTGCAAAAGTCTCCTTGGCAGAGTTGCAGATTCTAATGGAGCGAACGACTTTCCATTTAGATGTAGGTAGGATGTTGGTTACAGTCTGTCGACACAATGGTAACAGGACACCGCACCCTATTATACCGGAAATTGAAGGCAAGTCCCCGGTCCTCGTCTCGAGTTACAGGGAATGTCCGCAACTTTTCCTTTCCAATAAAAACCAATCGTCGAACTGAAGGGAGAACGAGAGAAAGAGAGAGAGAGAGAGAGACAGGTAACTGCCATTTGCATACGAGTTCCACTTCCTACTGCACAGCGCCATTCTTTCCTTATTTTTTTCAATACTAGGTAGAACCTATATCCACGTCCAGACCTAATTCCATGTAAATTTAGCCCATGCTTGGCATTCCTCCGCTTCGTGAGCTTACAGAATAGGCAATTATGTTTTATTTCGAGAATTCTAAGAAAACGAAGGACTTCAAATAACGCGAGAGGTAATATAAGATGTAAGAGGACTTTGCTTTTTACATTTTCACTTCTATATTATCGGAAAGACGTAATGACTCATCGAGAACAATCGACATCGTTCGATCACGTGAACGTCCCTCAAGAAAACTCGTTATCGTCGAAGTTTACTCGAATTTGAACGGGATGAGATTGGTTATTACGAGGTCTCGTAAGTGTAATATCGATTAAAATCGCTAAAACAGAATTATATCTGTTCATCTGCCTCCTGATATTATGCAAATATCTTGGATCAGCCCTCGAAGATAACTTTTCGAACTCCCTCCAGAGTTTGAAGTTCGAGTTTGCCACATCAATTATGGCCAATGTTAAACTACGTGAGAAATTCTTTACAAATGTTTGGTTACGTGATCAATTTCACACCTTTAACAAATCACACGATGCATTTTTTAAAACCCACGGAAAATGCATGATATTCATCATACGTGGTGATAACTCGTGACGAATTTGCACAAGTGTCGAGCCACGTGCTGAATTTAACTCAAACTTCGAATTTCGTGACTAATTTTTCACCATTACTCCTCCTATTTTCTGGAAGAAAGTCAAATTTTCTTATTAAATATTGATTTCTAGAAGATCAGAATCGACATTAAAGACCTCGATATAATGATTTCGCGGACGAAGCGTGTCGAACGTGGAGAGGACATCGACGACAATTACGTTATAAACAGAATACCTAACGTCTTAAAAGGGTCGAAGTTGACGTGACTAAATACTAATCACCACATGTGGTATAAGTGGTGTTTAAACAGGAATTTTTTTTTCTTTTACTTGTTTAGCTATATTTAACAGTCACGGGCCATTGGCACAACTTGAATAATGATTTTTACCTGCGGTTCGGGTGAGGTCGACGTTCGAGAAAAAATCCGTGTAGGTTTGGAGTCGAGCATTAACAATCATCATCCCTTTAAAACTTAACACGACTCCCGTCACGTGTTCGAAAATTTGGCCGCTTCACAGATTTACGTTTTTGGGGGAGGGGGGACGAGAAGAAGAACAGATTAATCAAGTGAAGTGTAAAAGAATTTCGAGATTGAAGTGGGAAGTTTAGAGCTTAACTGTCAGTTTGATGGAAAAGTTTCCATTTTTTTTNCTTCTTAACCGTTATTTTTGATTACAGAAGTCGAGTTTGCTGAGGTTCCTGTTTGTGAACAGCCAGCAGAACCTGGTATGTGCCTCGCTTACATGCCTCGTTTCTACTACGATAAGACTGAAGGAAAATGCAAGAAGTTCATTTATGGAGGATGCGGAGGCAACGACAACAATTTCCGTACTCTAGAGGAATGCGAACAACAATGCGGAGGTAAAAATTCTCATTTTCTTATTCATAACTGAACTGAACCGATAGTTTTAACTCAAGATACTGACTTTCCTTACAGCCCAATACTACGAATCCACGTGCCAACAGAAACCCGAAACCGGGCCCTGCCGCGGATACTTCCCACGTTATTATTACGACGAAGAGAAAGGAGAATGCAAAAAATTCGTCTACGGTGGATGCAAAGGCAACGACAACAACTTCCAAACGGTAGAAGACTGCGAAACCACCTGCAGTAAGTGTCCTTTATCCGCTTCGTTTATTAAAATTCCATACTAAGGGCCGCCGTATTCCTACAGAAACCCAAGGGAGTCAACCCAGGAGAGTCTGTTTTCAGGAGAAAGTAGTTGGTCCTTGCAGAGCAGTTAAAATTTTTACACATAAAAATTAAATCTAAATTAACGAAATTTTCAATTTTTAAGAAGATTTAAAAAAAAAAAAAATTTATTTAAAAATTTTAACACTTAAAATTAAAGAAAAAATTTGTTTCAATAAACGTCACTAGATGGCGAAAGCACGCATTAGTGTATATGCGGCTAAATATCCAGATGGCATAAAGCGCTGATTGGTCAGCCGAATGACGTTAACCCACTGAAGTATAGATTATATTTTGTTGTCATCAGAACGAATCATGACGAAATAGATTATTTTTTTTTAGTTGTTTTTTTAGTATAAAGTGAAAATACAGCTAATTTTTTTTTGAACGTTTAACTTAATACTTGATTTTTATGCACCTCTGAACCAAATCATACACAATAAATCATTTTGATAGCGCGATTAGTGTTTTAAATTTACGTGCGCAGATAATAATTAACAGAAAATTTCAGATATTATTCATAAAAAGTTCGAGAAAGGACGAAATTTATAATTAACATAAGTCAGAATATTCTTTGAATTTGTCATACGCATTTAATATACAGTATTTAAGTTTTCGCAGGATTTGATTTGAAAAACAAACCTATGGATTAGAGAATCTGTAAAAAAAAATAACTTATTATTTAAAATGTTTTAACAATTATGCATTAAAAAGTATGAATTATGTTTAGGTGAAAATATATACGACCCTCCTATAAAACGGTTGATAATTCCGTTTTATATGAATTCCATGTTGTACGAGTCACTTAGATTTTACAAATACATGAGCTATTCACAGCTCAGCACACGTATTTGTAAAATCTAAGTGATTCGTACAACATGGAATTCATATAAAACGGAAAAATCAACAGTGTTATAGGGGGGGTCGACTGTATTAAATTGCTAACTAATCTGTATTTTTACTTAGCATATTCTGTTGTAATATATATATAAAACATTAAATACAAGTTTCTGTAAGGTTAAAAATACTGTATTGTCTAATAATGTTAAAAAAAACTTAATTTGCAATTTACATTTGTTGTTTTTGATTATTTTATTATTATAGTAAATGTATAAAAAAGCTTACAAAAATACAAAATAGATAAAAGTTACTTCTTGATGTCTCGGCATTAAAATCTTTGATATCAAGTAATTTTATGTTAAAATGATTGCAAAATTTTTAATTAATGTCAATACACACGAGAGCTAGTGAAATTATAAATAAGTGCCTTTTATCAAGTTTTAGATGAAATGTCCATAACTATTATATAATGTCTACCCGCTCTCACAACAACAACAATACGAAGTTTAGGCTAGTCGCTCAACATTACCGATTTTCGTAGGTTAACGTCATTCGGTTGACCAATCAGCGCGTTGTGCCATCTAGATATTTAGTCGCACGTATATAAACAGAGTATGGCCACTCTAACGTATGGATGCCATCTTGTGGCCAAAATGCTTAGCCTTTAAATGAGCAATGTTAAAAACAGAAATTAGATTCACAGCAGTATTTTTCTTTTGTAATTCTTGTGAAAATATATGAAATCTTACATTTAAAAATCTGTTCAATAAATGCCCTTTAATATCTGGAAATTGTTCTTGGGTCAATTCCTTAACCTGATTAAGAAATTGTTTCTTTACATTACTGGCATTTCTAGAAGAAAGTTTTTCTTCAGCGCATTTAAATAACTCCTCCACCCGTATGAACGTATTATATGTCAAAACTGCTGGATATGTCAATGCACCTTATTTAAATTTTCTCGCTTCTATCAGTTTATGTATACGCTGAGGCATAGTCTCTGTGCTTTTAATTTCAATTGATTGTAAGCAACTGTTACAGTGACTGTCTTTAATTTTTAATTGCCTTGTGGCATATCCCACAAGTAAATATAAGCAATCTTGCTCAAGTTTCGTAATGTCCACCACCTCTTCTCCTTTACAAAGAAATTCATCTTCGATGAAGCAACTTTCTGTATTTGGACAGTTCCGAGAGTTATCTAAAACTCTGCAAGGAATTTCCCATCATCCTCATCATAATTTGAAGATGAAGGAGCTTTTAGATACTGAGCAATAGTCAGCAATCGCGGGTTATACTCGAATTCGAGTGTAGATGGTGTAGGATTATCTTTTCTAATACACGAGAACAAATTTTCAAGGAAATCCTGACTACACCTGAATGTAAAATAATGGGAATTATGCTGTTGTAATAGTAAGTCTGTAGTTTCAACATTTCTACTTCAACCAACCTCATCAATCATGTATCGCAATGCAGTACTAGTCTTACAATTAAATAATTTCAAGGCAATATTAACTTTCATTTTCTGAAAATGATGTGTACTAAGATGCAGTAAAGTTAATTAAGGTGCTAACTTCAACTCACAATCACTTTGATAGTTAGCTAAATTAATAACATGATGCAGATCCACAACATTCGTTGGTAGATTATATTTATGAACAGTGTCAGCTGATAGAATAATATTTACATTATTTAACAGGGGAGCACGGAAATTTTTCAAAATATATGGCAGATCTGCTATGAAGTAGATAGATCTAAATGAATCGTAAGGATGAACAATCTTATTAATAGTCTCTGCATATTTGCCCACATTGATCCCAAAGGCCTTCCACATTGCTCTATTTGCACTAGCCATGTCGCATGTAATGCATATAATTTTCAGACCTATGTCTTCTGCTTCTTTGATAATGCTAAGAATAATATCATGCAATACAACTCCTTTGCATGAATTTCCACTGAAAAAATATGCAACAGTTTGTTTCCATCGACTAGTGATACCACCAAGTACAAAGACTAATGCTTGACTTGCATATCCCTCATGTTCTGGCAGTGTTACATCACCTAAAAATCTATCACCCTGTGGATCATACTGAACACCCTGAGCAATAGCCATTTCATCTAACGATAAGCAGCAGAATTTTTCAAGGCTATTCATTTTCTGTGACTTTATTTTTAAATATGAGAACACATTGTGAAGTATTCCACTCTCAAAATTAATGTTCTGTAGTCGTCTTCGTATTGTCCGTAAAGACGGAAGAGGCAAGCCTTGTTCAATTAACATTTCATAGCCTGATCTTCCACAAGCAAATTTTAACTG